AATAGGACAGCATTTTTGAGAAAAAGTTGTGCTATTGGGAAATTCAATCAGCCTGTGGATTATTAACCTGTTGACTACTGGTGCTGCTATTTTCATAAGAACTATTACAGTTTTGGAAAGTGCTGGGAGTCACAGCCACCAAAGCCCCAGCCTCAGGGCTTGGCCAAGCTTTAGGGGGCTTCAGGGGACTGAGCACAAACCCCAGGCTGGGCCCTGAGCCCCCTCAGGCTGTCACAAGGGCCCAGTTCAGGCCAGCCCAGAAGTGGTCAGCTTGGCCTGGCTCAGTGCTTGGGGCCAGGCTGAGGAAAACACTACACATACAAAGTGGTATCATTATGTTGTACATAAGTAGCACTACAAGATTGAACATGTGCATCAAATCTCACAGTGGCAGTTTCAATATTATCATGCACTCTGAAGAGTATTTAAAGTAGAAAACAATATACATATTTGTGATTCAAATTATCAGTTCCCTCTAAATACAGGACTTAAAAGTTTTATCTAAAGTCTATTTTGGGACAAACATTATCAGATATCTACCCAAAGACAATTGAAAATTATATATTACAAGAGGGTTTAGGGGGAAACATTCTTTATAATATAAATTTTCAACTGTCTTTGAGTAGATATCATAATATTTGTCCCGAAATGGACTTGAGATAAAACTTATAAGTCCCCTCAGAATAAATAATTAGAAAGCACTGATAATTTGAATCACAAGAAAATGTACTGCTTTCAAATTTGAATACTCTTTAGAGCATGTGATAACATTGAAACTGCCACTTGTCTCGAATCACATGGGGAATACTGCCTCACATATGGCACTGGATCTGTAACATTAATAATACAACAATTATTTTCTGGCTGCACACAACTTTTCATGCAGACCCTGCAACTTTTTTTTTTTTATGCCTCTACACAATTTTTTTTGGGCAAGTAGACAAAACAATTCGAGCATGAATCCATAGACACTAAGTACAACTAAATATACCTGGATGCTATGTAAAATTAACCTACTGTCGAGGGAAGTATTGTCGTCGAGAGGTAGGGTGGGCCATGGTGCAGCGATGGGGGAAGGTGGTTGAGGCCAGGTGGTGTGTGGTCAAAGGTAGGGCGGCAACGCTGCGTAGTTGGCTACAGGGTTTCATGTTGTCATTTGTTGGGTGTCCGTCGTTGTCCTCAGCGGCCGCTAGTCATTGTTACCGATGCTGCTGTCTGTGCTCGAATGGGAGTGGTGGTCGTAGCATCACTCAGAAGTGAGCTGTCCCAGCTCAACCGCTCCTTCCGACTTCCCACGTGATGAGCCAGCGGCGTTCCTAATGCGGAAGGTTGATTAATCAGCAAGTATTGCTTTTCCTACCATCCCTGACATACACACCGGACGTCCACCTCTAATTAGACTACATACGTGGGAATCACAGGTGGAGTGTTGTGACCACCACTCCCATTCGAGCACAGACAGCAGCACCGGTAACAATGACTAGCGACCGCTGAGGACAACGACGGACACCCAACAAGTGACAACATGAAACCCTGTAGCCAACTATGCAGCGTTGCTGCCCTGCCTTTGACCACACACCACCTGGCCTCAACCACCTTCCCCCATCGCTGCACCATGGCCCACCCTACCTCTCGACGACGATACTTCCCTCGACAGTAGGTTAATTTTACATAGCATCCAGGTATATTTAGTTGTACTTAGTGTCTATGGATTCACGCTCGAATTGTTTTGTCTACTTGCCAAAAAAAAATTGTGCGGAGGCATAAAAAAAAAGTTGTGGGGTTTGCACGAAAAGTTGTGTGCGGCCAGAAAATAATTGTTGTATTATTAATGTTACAGATCCAGCGCCATACTCACGTGGTTCTACCTGATGCAGTTATGCCGTCCTTCATACCAGCCATACCTTGGGCTATGCATGTTTCGACTCGGCAGCCCTCATCAACTATGCATCACAGTCAGTGAGTGTATACCTCATATTTCAGCAAGTTTTACTTTTGTTGTGACGACTTCCAGCTATTCTTATTACGCGGAGGGCCTTTCGATGTGGTGCCACATCATTGGCCAGATACTTCTTTACGCTCGAAGCACTAACAGTGGGACAATCCTGTAGTTTTTCCCACAGAGATGCATTGATTATTGATGAGAATGCCGCAAACTTGCATCTCGTCCACGATGCAATGAGAAGCGTTATATTCGCTGGCGATATGTAGTTGGCCCGCGGAATAATTCTCTCATGAGATATCCTGCCGTTTATATTCAGGATATAGGTTCATCACCCGGTAACTCTCATCCCCTGTTTAAATTGCACACTGATTCATCGAGTAGTTGCTCAGATCGTTCCGTGTCGATCACCTACAGAGTGTCTCTGCCTCGACACTTCGGCGTCGCTAGTTTCTGTGACCATAAAAATGGGACGCCATATATGCCTATGCCTGACCTGGCACTTTTTACCTGCCGTAGAGGCCCCATCATAGGAAATACGCATCTGAGCAACGATGCCCATCCATGACCTGGCAATCACCGCGGATTTTGGGATCCGGAGATACTCTTCTTGCATGGTTGCCAAACTTATAGCTCTGCCTACAATTCTGCTGAGTCTGTTCAAGCGTGACCATGGACACGACACTTATCGTACTCCGCCTCGCCACCATAATTCATTCGCTTAGTGTGGTCAACGTAACTGCTGCTTTCGTTGGCATTCTCGCCTTTCACGCTGCTGTCCGTGAAAGCAGGAGGAGGCTCAAGACGACGAAGCTTAGAGGACCACCTCCCTCCAGTTTCATCTTTGGAGCTGGGAAGGATATCCTCGACGCACCTGATACAGGAGAAGTATACGAAGCATGGGTCCAAGAGTATGGCGTCGTGTATGAAGTCCCTCTCGCACTAGGGAAGAGGAAAGTAATTCTATGTGACCCCAAGGCTGTTGCGCATTTTTTTGCCGGGGATACACGAACTTATGGCCACACGGCACTGGATAAAGTCACTCTCGAGCGTAGCGTACGTGGCGGGATCTGGGTATTTTTGACCATTTGGCTGATGACGTGGTGCCTAGGTCGGAAAAGGAATACTCTGGGCTATGGGTGAAGACCACCGAAGGTATGTACGACCAGAGTGGTGGTTCCAAACTATAACACTTATTATTTCGATGACCCACTGTGAGTCAGGCAGCGCAGGTCCATGTCTCCGGCCTTCACCTATACGTCCATCGGGAAGCTAACCCCTGTCTTTTACAACTGCGTTTATAAGGTCTGTAAATTCTTCATTTTTCCTTCCAATTTTGTGTATCATCAGGGTTCCATGCACCAGGTAAAGGCAGCGTGGGATGGCGTTATTAGCGCCAACGGAGAAGACAGTGCTGTCATAGAAGTTTCCCAGTGGTATGTCAAGTATATTCGACATCCACAACGAAAATACTGACAGACAAGGTACATAGGATGAATCATCTTTCGTACGTCAAGTTGTTTTCTCCATGAAGCGTACGATCACTTGACTGTGGTCTGGTACAACGTCTGCTAGGCTGGACTCTATTGGACTGGCAGGTTTTTCGCACGACTTTGGTGCTCTCGACGGGAGAAAGGCTCCGGTAACACGAATTTTCGAAGCATTTCAGGAGTCATCCAAACGCAATGACATGAGTTCTGGAGTGTTTCTCCTCCTGCAGGTATTCCCTATGCTGGTATATATCCCCTCACCCAGAATGAGATTGGTGAGAGAACTCCACTACGCGATGGTGGACGTTTGCAATGCTATGCTGGATCAAACGAAGAAAGAGAAGGAGGCGGGTGCGTTGGATGGGAAGGAAAAGTCGATAATTGAGGTGTTGGGTACGCACTTAGCGTCATCGGGAATTCTAGACTAACCCAGGGTGATACAGTCCAGGCCGAGGGAACTGACACTGGGTTCTATGCAACTCGGGAGGAGGCTCTGGCACAGGTAAATATGCAACCGCTAGCATCAGTACTCGGAATAAAATTGTTTTTTTGCACAAGATGAAAGCATTACTCATTGCTGCCTACGAAAGCAGTGCAAGTGCGTGTAAATGTTCGTCCATTAGAAATGCCACCTGATTGTTTTCCTGCATAGTCAACCTTGTCTGGGCGTTGGTAGAGCTTGCTCGGAACCCAGAGGTCCAAACAGCGCTACGAGAAGAACTTTTAACTTTCCGTGAGGATCTAACTTACGAGCAGCTGAATAAAGGTCTACCCTATTTGGATGCTGTTGCGCACGAGACATTACGACTCCATCCATCTATACCAGACTTCGAACGTATCGTGCGTGTCACCTTAGTTGTTCACCGGTTTTTGTTCTCACCCACTCTACATAGACGGAGGAAGACGACGTGATTCCTCTTTCAGAACCTGTGCACACCAAGACGGGCGAGGTCGTCGACCGTATTCACGTCGCGGCTGGCACTCTTATCGGTATATCGACACCATCCATCAACCGTTCTGCTGCAATTTGGGGTGTAGACGCCAAGAAATTCCGGCCCGAAAGGTGGATTGAAAAAGATGGCATCACAAAGAAAGCCCAAGAAGTTCAAGGGCATCGGCATTTGTTATCTTTCGGGGACGGACCGCGGATGTGCATCGGTAAAGGGATCGCTTTGACGATGTTCAAGGTAGTATATTTGCTACTCTATGTCTGTGTGACGATGAAGCGGGATTTAATCATTCAATAATAGGTGGTTTTATCGGTGTTGGTAAAGAACTACGTGTTCGAAATGAGGGACGGCCCAGACACGAAGATAGAGATGGGGAGAGCGTTGTCGGTGCGCCCAAAGGTGGCTGGGGAACAGGGCGCCAGATTACCACTGCGCGTGAAGCGGTACGAGGGATGAGCGGCGAGCACTCGGGAGTACCTTTCCCTGTCTGGTAGCCACTAGGCTTGTCTTCGGGTTTTTTTTTTTTTTTTTTTTTTTTTTTTTTTTTTTTTTAACGTAATAGTTACTTGAATTTGGGGCTCTCACTCTTTGTAGCTCCTTCACCGACACCACAATACCGCCTCAATGGCTCAGTTGGCTAGAGCGCAGGTCTCATATGTTGAATATGACTGGAATGGAATCTCCAGGCAATCCTGAGGTCGCAAGTTCGAGCCTTGCTTGAGGCATGAATTTTATCCCCCACGTTACATACCTCTTTTTGCCTGTTTAGCCTTTACTCGCCTGTGACTCATGCAAAAGGGTGCAACTAGCTGGAGGCCAGGTCCATGACCTGAAAAAGAGTTTCGTTTGCTATTTTACACGCTCAAGATGCAGGTCCCATCCCCATCCGAGACCCCAACTGCTCCTTCGTCGGACACGTGACAGTCTGACGACGTGAATGGCATGTACGTCAAAACCGTCAACGGACTTTCGATGGAAACCCGCTCCATGCGAAACTATGTACAAATGCCACAAATACTACCTTCGTCAACCAATCTGGGCTACTGGATTCTATGTGCGCCGAAGGTGCCACGTAACTCCGAAATACTTATCTGTTTGAGACCGCCATGGACGACACGCAGTCGTGTGCATGTACTCACATCTAGGACGATAAAAGCTTGGTGATTTTTTGCTCCAGACAAGCAAGTTTGGGTAAAAACTTGAGAGGAGTCATGCGGGGCATCTTCGGAATGTTGTAATGCGAGAGTCTTCCATCCGAAAGCTGACCTTCAGAACATCCGACGCATAGGTTCGTGCGGCATTGCTGGGAGGTTCAGTGGCTGGTTAAGTGGTGACCCTGAACTACGCCAGCCACCCTCAAACGTAAATTCAGGAGGTAAACGGGATTCAATTATTCGCCACTCATTGCCATTCCGTACTCCGAACACTCATCTGTGTTACGATGGAGGTTAGCGGTGACCATATCCTTCTTTATTCTGACATTCTCAGGTCCATCTCGGCGAACAACCAGCACGAGGCATAAACATTTGGAAGTGCCACTACGTTGCGTGGTACGTATGTCCGCGGTTCAGCATGGCACAAAGTTGATCTGTCCTCCTAGGGCTCCACGAGAAGAGGGAGGATGCTCGTACCACCGCTAGGTAGTTGAAACGTAAACGACAACGCTGAAGAGATGACAGGAGGACTTGGGAGTGGGAGGGGTTACGCCACTAGTGGTAATGATGCGCGCGAGATATGTAGTTTTGCTCACAATCCTGAGGCAACCACATCGCTTTCGCACAACAAAGTTACTCCGAGTCTGCCATTGTAGTGACAGCTGCTCAGGGGCCGCACGTTGGAATCCAGGTTTCGTTCCGTGTACTTTCTACTAAACGTTCCTATTGCTGTACCCCCCGGGTGGCCTTCCACTCGTTTCCAGGATTTTGTCCCGAGTTCAGGGCTGCCCATCTCAGCCGTCTTACGGACCTGACTGACCCAGGACAGAAGCTCACCCAATCATGCTCGTAGGCTCACCTCCATGTCATTGTACTGGTTCTACGGCGATGCAGATAGCCCCAGTCAGCGGGCCCGACCGAGAGCGTGAGCAGCCTTTTAACGATTTGAGAAGTAACTGCGAGCCAAAAAAAAAATCCCCCGAGAGTATGCAACACGCATTCATATATTGCGATGTTCACACCACTAAGAACTAGATTGAATACGCACACGCACCTAACGATGAAGATGGCGAGGACAGAATAAGCAAAAGTTCTAGTGGTAGCACGGTGAAAAAGTCTGTCGTACACGCGCGGAAACAAGAAGAGGTCGTCGAGCACGAGTTCGCCAGAGATGTCAGGCATTATTGTAATTACAAGGAGCCAGTTAGTCGCAGTTGACCGTAGGTAGTCGCCGGCCGGGGTGTCCCAAATTGAAGTGGACATTCAAACTCGCAAGAAACCGAGCATAGTCTGTCAACGCTCAACGATCGAACTTTGAATCGATGATGCGGATGCCGTCCACGTACAAGTCTTATACGTCCACGCCAGGCGACTCTGCATCGGTGTGATGTACGGTAAGTAGGATGGGGAAGAACCATCATAGTAAAACGGAGCAGCGTCGTCGTTCAAAGGGCCCGTAGTCTTGTCGGAATGCGGAAGGCCATCCCATGCACGATTACAGACGTAGTCGACGGTGTGGCGATGGAGACGCCAACACAAAAAGCTGTGTGAATCACTTTCCTGTTTTGGGCAGCATAATATCCAGATTTTAATAACGAACGAGGGACTGCAACCTGGCCATGGGTACTAAATCGAAGAAAAGAGCTGCTCCAGCTCCTACGGTAACGTAGTTATTCCTTCCCCTGCTTACTTAGTCATTGAACTGTTCGTTTTGTAGCATACATCGAAGAAACAAAAGCTGCAACCGAGCCGGCCTGCCAAGTCAGCTCATACTAAAGATAAGTCCCAGGAAAAAGGCAAAGGAAAGACAAAGGCGTTCGAAAGAGAGACGATTGCGATACCCACCGTTGATGACGCCGATACCGAAGACAGTGATGTTTCCGACGCCGATGCTGGTCTTCTACAAGAATTCGGTGATGCCGTAGGTTTTCTGCGTTCTTTGGATCGTAACGCTATCGCAAGGTGCGCAGTTCCACGGTAGTTCTTTCACTTAGCCTTTTTTTTATTTACTTCTGCCCCAGGAGCAAAGCAGCAACAGAGAGACTGCACCAGTTACACAAACCCATCCGCAAACCTAGAGACGACGATCTACCGTCGATTGTGTCTGGCGACGACGACGCTGGGGATTCTTCGGGCTCTGCGGTTGATGAGTTTGACTCGAGTGTATTTTCTGATGAGAATGACTCGGACGAGGAGGGACCTGGAGACGAGCTGCAGAGTGGCCGAGGATTCGGTTCTGATTCGGATGTCGAGATGCCCTACGAACGCATACCAAGAAGACGTGACGCTTCTGTCGAATCGGACGCTCCGCGACACATACAAGGTCTACCTATCAAACTATCAGACGGCCGAATACAAGCAACCGGCAAGATGACCAAAGCCCCCGCGTTATTAGACGGTGAAGACGGCGAGGACGAAGACGAAACCAGCAACGTTCCTCTGGGCGAAGCAGGTAAACGCGTAGAAGACATAGCTACTGGTGCTCGTTTTGGTCGACCGGCTGTGGTGGATGTGGTAGGCAACAAATCGCGAGCAGCACGAATACACGGAGCGAAAGAGCAGATTGCTAGTATATGTCAGGAGATCATTGCTGACCCAGAAAACAGCGTGAGTTTATTTCATATATTGTCGTCCATTTTCCCTCATCTCATGTTTCTCTACAGCTAGGACTCCTTCGTCGATTGCACACATTCTCGCTGGAGAAAATCGCTTCCCCGACCCATCCAGAACCTGTTACGAACGATATCATGATTCGCAAATTAACCATGCTTTCCCAGTTGGCCGTGTTCAAAGATATCATCCCTGGCTACCGCATACGCGCGTTGACAGAAAAAGAGAAGGCGGAAAAAGTCAGCCAGATAGTTGCTCACACGCGCGAATGGGAGCAAGGTCTCCTTGTCGTATATCAGATTTATCTGCGTGCTCTAGAAGATTCATTAAAGGGTAAGCGGACGTGCCTCCCGATCGACTTGTACCCTCTCACCTTCATCTCCATTCAGCTAAAGACGAGCTGTCTGATATTGCACTCAAGTGCATATGTACGCTGGCTACGGGGGTTACCCACTTCAATTTCAGAGTGAACCTTATGTCGTGTATCGTGGCTCGGTTAAGTAAAAGAAGCTGGGATGAGGTAGGCCATCCCCGCAAGTCACCCGCGGGATTGACAACGATGCATCACTCTAGTCGTCGGACCTTTGCCTCAATACCGTGATCAGTATATTCCGGAATGACTTGACAGGCGTGCCATCGCTGGAAATCGTCCAGTTGCTGAACAAGATGATCAAGGAACGCCATTTCAAGGTCCACCCGGAAGTCCTCACTTGCCTCTTACACTTGCGACTCAAGAGCGAGCTAGACGTGCGAGCTTCGGATACGAAGGTCGATAGGACTGAGAAGCTTAAAAAGTATTCCCAAGGAAAAGCTGCGAGCCGCCGTTCGAAGGGGAAACCCACTGACCAACCTCATTTGAGCAAGAAGGCGCAGAAAGCATTTAAGGAAAGGAAGGAAATAGAAAAGGAAGTACGCGAAGCAGAGGCGGAGGTCGACAAGGAGGAACGAGCAGGGACGGTGCGTGGTTAGACGAGTTCGATTTCAATGCCCACTGACATCCCTTGATAAAGCATACTGACACTCTCAAGCTCTTGTTCGTGCTGTACTTCCGAGTCCTGAAAAATCCCCATCCCACCCCACTGCTTCCTGCGGCCCTGAGGGGAATCTCTAAGTTCGCCCACCTTGTCAACGTCGACTTCTTCAAGGACTTAATGCAGGTTCTTCGGGGGCTCATCGTCCGAGAGTCTACAAGCGAAGACGACCCTGAGTCTCTGGACTGGAACACCGCAGGTAATGCGGCGGATGTCCTGAATCGATTGCTTTGTATCGTTACCGCTTTTGAGCTTCTTTCAGGTCAAGGTTCGTGTCATCTTACGAATCTTCCGTGCCTGCTACTCTGATACTGGTGTGTAGGCGAAGCCTTGAACATCGACCTCAGTGACTTCATCAACCACCTGTATGCTATCATACTCCCCGTCAGCCTACTGCCACAGATCGACGACCCTCCGCCGACTAAATTCATCTCGAAATTTCGAATGTCGAAGCCAGAAAGCATCGCTGACATGCTCTTCCGAGCTCTGAACATCGTTTTCTCCCCACGTACGTCCGGAGGCACAGTAATGCCGTGGCGCTCCGCCGCTTTTGCCAAGCGCTTGTTGATCGCCTCTATCAACTGGCCACCCAACATAACTTTACGCGCTCTCGAATTTATCGAGGCGCTCGTCGCCAAAGATCCGAAGTTGGAAGCGCTCTTGTCGACCGAGGATAGGAGCGCGGATGGTATCTATCTTCCACAAATCGACGATCCGCAACTTAGTCGTCCGTTCGGGACGTCATTTTTTGAACTATTGCTGCTTCAGCAACATCATTATGACTCGGGAGTACGGGAGGCTGCCCAGAGGCTTTCTAGGTGCACTAACAGTTGATGTATCGATAGCAATGACCTCTAGATAATGGAAATTGATACTGCGCAGCGCGTCCCTCCACCGATTGGACTAGGTACGTGCAGACTTTCGTGTCCT